AAAACTACGGGCGTACGTTGCGAATGATTGAGACCGAATTTTAGCATTGTCCTAATGTATTTTCTTATAGATTGTAAAGGTAATCAGTAATAGTAATCGGTTAACAGTTAATAATAGATATGTTAAATAGTTTCACCGCATTACACTACTCCTGCAATCTACTCGGGACCGAAGAAACATGTGGACGTACGTACGTTGTGAACGAATGAGACAATTTTAGCGATGTTCCAATGTATTTTTGTCTAGATAATAAAGGTAATCAGTAGTAATAATCGGTTAATAGTTAATAATTAAATAATAGTAATAGTTAGTAATCGGCAACAGTAATAACGGTAGTATGCTCGGAGAAACTTGTTCTTTAAGGAACGAAAATAAAATCGGGTTGTTTACGAATCTCGTTTCTTTCGTTCACACAGATGATTACTCACCTCTTGAAACACGGAGCTGACCCGAACCTTGTCGATTGTAACAAGAGGACGCTGCTCGCTATAATGGGCAACCAGGCGGAGGTGAGAAGCACCAGAATGAGTGAGCGAGGAGCACACGCAGCACCAGACCAACAAGCGGAGTCAGCGGTGCAAACGGCGTCAGCTCTCCTACAGACGTGCGAGTCCGCCGGCGTACTTCTACAGGTTAACACACGCGACAGCAAGGGCGACACCCCGCTGCACAGCTTCTGTAGGATGATGCTCGCATGCAAATACGATTTTTACGCACGACAGAGGGATGGGTGCGTGCCAATAGTGCACGCGCTGCTGTTCAACCACGGCGCACACGTCGACGTGGTGAACGCACGGGGAGAGACGCCATACAAACTCTGGCGCAGGATTTACCCGACGCGTTGCCGCGGCAACGTGGAGTCGAGCAACGAGATAGATGGCAGAATAAACGCGCAGTATCATTCGCTGAAGTGCCACTGCGCGCGCGTTATCGTCAGACACAGCGTTGCATACGAGAACAGGCTGCCTCCGAGTCTCATAGAATTTGTCAGGGCACACGCTAGACCAACGTATAGGCGACACTAAGCGCGTTATTACCGAGGAAGCCCATGTTGGATCGGAGATGCGATAACCCAGAAGATATTATCAATACTTTGTAGATCTATGTTCTAATTGTTGCACGTGTTGGCAGACGTTTCATTGCAATGTAAAATCTAGTATATGTAGTAACACTATTCAGTTTATATAGAAATGTGTAGATTATCGGTATGATGCCTTGGTGAATTTGCGCGATTTAATAACCACGAGTACAAATGTTAAAAGTTTGCAAATCATTTTGCTCTGTAAAAAAATCTAAAGGCTTAGTTGTGTTCGGAATATTTGAAAAAATAAAAACCCATTTTACCATGAAATGTATGCAATTCGGAATGTACTTATTACCACCAGAATCACATATTTGATGTGCTCCTGCTACCACACACCACCAAAAAATATAATCATTAATGACTCGCTGTTCAGACGATCCACTTGTCACAATGTACCCATTAATAGGGTATATATATATATACATATATACTATAGACTGAATATGCAGTCCAACCATAGACTGAAGGCACACTACGCCCTAGACTTATATAGGGAATAAGCCTGTTATGTTTGATGCTCACACATGTGCATAGTCAACGCAGATATATTTTTTGAAAAACTGGAATGCTTCCACACCATGCGTGCATACCACGCGACACACAAGTTGTTCTCGACGCGACATCTAACGGTCATATATCATAACATCTCCCCTATTTAATGAAAATAAACATTTCCTGCGTGAGTGCTTCATAGGTATGCACTAGAAGTGTATATGTAACTCAAAATCAAACATAACAAAACCAAGCGAATACTCACGTACGTACTCACTGCCTGCTTGATCTTTGCCCTTACCTTGTAGCTGCGCTGAGGTGACCATGGCAGAGGAGCGGCGGTTGGCGAGTGACATACGCGCTTGACGTGCTTGTGTGGCACATTGCGCTTGGGGGAGGGGTAGTGTAGCATCTTCTGAGGCGTGTTCAACAGCGCGAACGCTCGCAGCACGAACGCAGCGCCACTTGAACGACACCGAGCTATGCACCGAGCGCTCGCTTTATCCAAGATGGCGGCTTCCTCAGCAGATTTAATCGCGAGATTTTAATGTCTTCGAACAAATACTGTTAAACGAATTAGCAGACGAAATTGATATGAATTGAATTCAGAAGTGAATGAATGATTGAAAAATGAAATGAAGTTGAAACAGAGTGAAATT